TCCAAATGTTTTTTTCACTACCAGATTCTACCTGGAAAAAGATTTGAATCAATATTTCATACCGATATGGTTATCGATTCAGCATTCGTTCGACTGTATGTGTGGCCATTGAAGATTGAATAAACACAATATTTCTGCAAAATTAAAATTAAACATTTTTTACTAAAAGTTTGGAAATCATGCTTATTGAATAATTTTGGTTTATTATTTTCAATAATCAACCATTGTGATCGACCAACAAATTCAAAAACTTAACCCCCTCTCAAAATTTGAGGTTTCTCGTTTCAGGATCCGTAGAATTCGAAAAACGAATAAAAAATTTTTTGTCCGTCCACCGTCCGCTCATTTTCTCCGAAACTACTGGATTTTTTTTCAAATTTTGATATAAAATCCGAAGTCACCCGAGGATGATCCTCCTTCATCGACATTACTATCCGCCTTTTACTTTCAAAATGGCGGCCGAAAAACCTGCGTTGCTGTTGACTTTAGCTCCTAAACGAATGTACAGATTTCAATGAAACTTCGCTAAAGTCATTTTCTCGACGACCTTTTTATTTACCTATATAACATACTTCAACGAAAAGAAGCTGGAAAAAAAGTTACGAGGGATGATCAAATTAAATTCCGAATAACTCGAAAAGTTTATACTTTTTTGTTGATATTGTATATGGTTTTTTAAAAGTTTACAAAATTTCCTAAAAAACAAAAAAAAAAAATCGTTACAATCAGGAGCCAAAGATATGGTCTCCGTTTTTTTTAATATGTTCTACTCCAAATGTTATATCCTTGGCTTGGTTTTTAAATTTTGAATCTGTTACCGAAGTAATGCTATTTTTTTTTTTTTAGCATATTACTAATGATTAAAAAAAAAAAGTTTAGTCCAATAATTGGAATCACCTTTTGTTTATTTTTCTTTGTAACTCGGAAGGTAATGTTACTTTAGATGTATAATTGTTTGGAAATAATAAACCATTGTGAAATAATTTGCAGCGTTTTTTCATCAGAATTCACTGATGTTTTCAATAATCAACCAGAATGGAATGGACTCTACTTACAAAGTGAATCTGGTGGAAAATTAAACCATCCCGTTATGAAAGTACAGGCGGTTTAATGAAGGAATCATTTGATAGTTCGAATAACAAATTATGATGAAAAATACAGATAATAATTGAAGTTTTATTTTTTTGTTTTCTTCCATTTTCTAAACGTAAAAGGAATATGGATTTCAAAGCTAATAAAGAAGTGTACCTCGAATAAAATTCTTATGAAAAATAGTAAATTCTTACTGGTATAATTTTTTTTTTTTTTTTAATGGGAAAAAACTCTTTATTGGAAGTTATGCGAAATATCTGACTGTATTTAAAGATGTTTTCTTTATTCATTATTGTCGCAACAGACGCATGTAACGGTCCTTGGCCTACTCAATTGTCTTTGCCCAGTCATCAATGTTTGCTGCGCACCTGATGGATATGCCATTTTTTCTTAAATCATCTGTTATATTATCCATCTATCTTCTCTTTTATGTTCCCCTCGACACAATTTCATACGGTGAACTCGAGCGAATTGAGAGATAGATAGATCGCCGTACATTGAGTATACCTCCTTGTTTGTCTTTAGTCTGGGAACGTCTTCCTCCAGTTTAGGTCATGTTATCCGTCTTAAAATTTTCCTTTCGAACCGATCTATTCGTTCTGCAGATACCTTTGTAAGGGTCCAGGTCTTGCACGCATATGCAGTAACTGGCCCAATAATCTTCTTATATAGCTTAAACTTAATTATACGGCTCAACAGTCTACTTTTTAGAAGCCTTACTAGAGTTTTTTATTGAGTATTATATAGTCTATATACTCTTATAATATATAAACTATAGTTATATACTCTCCATCGCTATTGTCACGAACGATAAAAATAAGATTGTATAAAACATTGGTAAGACCAGTAGTGACACATTCTGCGGAAACTTGGATCGTTTTCATCCCCACAAAAAATACGTTGAAAATTTTCGAGAGGAAAGTTATCCGTAAAATTTATGGATCTGTGTTGAAAGAGTTTGAATGGAGAATCTGGAAGAACAGCGAACTATATGGATCTTGTGACATTGTCCGCTCCATACCAGCAAGGAGGAATCGAGAATGCAAAAAAGAATTCTGCTTGGAAAGATGTATGGTACCAGAAGGAGAGGACGACCTCGGAGACTTTGGATTCAGGATGTGGAAAGGGACCTGGAAAGTCTCGGTATAAGGAGCTGGAGGAGAAGAGCGTTGTGCAGAAAGGACTGGTTGGTGCAATGTTGTCAGAAAAGCCAAGGTCCACCCCGGGCTGTAGAGCTACACACTAGCGGATCCAGGATTTAATTTTTTTTTTTGGGGGGAGGCGGCTTCAGCCAGAAAGCTTTTTTTTCCATAAAAACAACGTTAATTACTTTGTAAAAACAGAAAAAAAACTAACTACCTATATGAAGTAGTGTTTAAGTGATTCCTTAAGTCCTTTTAAACGTAATTACTCGAACGATAATACTTTAAGAGGTATTTTTAATTTTTTTTTTCCATAAAACATGGTTATAGTTTACCAGTTTGCGGGGCTTCAGCCCGAAAGCCTCCCTCCCCGTAGATCCGCCCGTGGAGCTACGTAGTAAGTATTATATAGTAAGCTCTGTCGGCAGCCATTATTCTAGCTCCTATCTCCTCATCTTCGTTATGGCTATCGTTAATTTTGGTGTGGCATTTCACCATTTTCCGTGCGTAATCTTCCAACCTGCAGAACGTATCCTTCACTGCTTGCAGTGATCATCCTGCAATGGCCACATCGTCTGCATACGATATATGCAAAGAGGTTTTCTGGAGCGATTAATTTATTTAGATAGATCAGCTGCTGAGATTTATTTAGAACTGTCATCTTTCGGAATTATTTTTTCCTCAATTCTGATAGATTTATCACTTTCTCATAGTATGTATTGAACAACATTCATTCTATCATTTTTTCTCAACTAATATAAAATTTCATTATTAAATACTTGCGAACTGCAAAATTTAAATGAATTTAACGGTAGCTATATTTTTAAAACTAGAAACTAATTAACGTTCGATGTAAATCTGTGGCATAATCTGATTCCTCTTCACGTTTTTTGAAATGGGAAGATAATTAAAATTAATAATAATTTTAGCTGACGCCTGGTTGACAAAGCTCATACGTAATGTGTACCATCGTCTATTTACGAAAGCGGAATTAGATATAAAAGCGATGATATAACTGGTATAACAACTGATTATTCGCTGTGTATCCATGGAGGAACATAATTATGTTTGCTCAATAGAAACGCTCAGTTATATTGACTAAAAGTTTTCGTCCGGGAGGAATCAATCCATAGTAGTGAAACATTATATGATTGAACTGATGGATTGGAAAGTATATTGCAATTATTATAAACTTTAAAAACCATATTTGGTTGAACATATTACAATTAGTAAGTCATGATGTTAAACCCTTCAATTATAGAGGGAAACTATTCTTACATGATCAATAATAGATGAATTGCATTAGTTCTTAGAATAGCCATAATTCCTAGCGTGACATATGTTATTATAAGGCTTCCATATTTTTTTTTTCACAATACTTCTATCAGTAATTCATATCTAGAGTAAAAAACTGATGTTCATATTTATTATATTTCCCTAAAGGTATAAATGAAATTTATTTCAATAGTTAGGTACATATAGTTTTATCTCTAGTTCCTCAATTAAATGCTTTAGTAAATTTAAGTTTATTTTGCCATTATTATTGTTTTATATAACTATAGATTGTGTATTTATTCTCTGTTTATATACTACGGTGGAATACGAAAGTTATTCTGCCTAATCCTTTGAATTCACCTAACGTTATAGTTGCAATAATTATTAAAGGATTAAAGTAATATATATATATATATATATATATATATATATATATATATATATATATATATATGTATATGTATATGTATATATATATGAAGAAAATTTCATGTACAACTTTCTTCCTCATGACTTTCGTAGAATGAGTTACGTTGACAAATAAAGATAAAAACTTGAGAATTTAAAAAAAAAAAAAAAAAAAAAAAATTATGAATATATTCAGTACTGTTACAAATGTCGGTTTTAATTTTATATAGAAAATCCTTATCACTAGGAAGTTTTCAGGACGCAAGCGATAATTCTTAAAAAGTGTTCTTGGTACTCCCTTCACAAAGGGGCAGGTTTCATGGGGCAGGTTGCGCCATCAAAAATTTTGAGGGGGGGGCCACATTTTGGCGAGGTTATGAATTTTCGAAGTGAAAAGTTTCAAACCAGGAACAAAGGGAAAACATAGACCAGACAACAGCAAGTTTAATTATACATGATCTACGATTTTTCTAATTTTATTTTTGCTTGCTCTGTTTTATAGAAGAGGAAAGAAATACAATTTTTTTTTTGGAGGAGGGGAATTATCATGCCATCAATCTTGGACTTGTTACACCTTGTTCATCTAAGAGTGGGGTCTTAAAAATATGTTTACCACTACAAAAATTGTGTTCATTCCAATTCCAATGTTTATAACACCTCCTTTATGAGCATCCATTGACGACTAAAAATTAAAAAAAAAAAGAAACTTGTACCACTGCAATCCATGAAGGGTCTTGGTTCAGTAATCTGTAAAGAAGTACTCTTTCATGGTCAGCGGTTACGGAAGTGATCAGGCCAAGATCATCCTCAACCACCAATTATCTCCATAATTATTAATTTATTAATTAATGATTTAATTAAGAGTGCCATATTTATGAGGCCACCATAAGAGGGTTTGATTCACTGCTGAGACAACAAAATAAATAATTATCTGCCATAACCGAACTCGAACCCGGTTCATCTTGAGTTCAGTGCATTATCCACAGTACTTTGACTGAACTAAATTTAATGGATAGATTTAGTAAACAGTTTGTTAGCATTCTATGTAATTTATTTTGTGATAACTAATTTTTTTTTTCCCAGGTCTAATTCCGAGGAACAGTCAATACCATCCACTGAAGAAGTCAAAGAATCACAACCACCCAGCCCCTTAACAGATGCAGATTCACAAACCGCTGAAGGAAATAAATGTGATGAAAAAGTAGCAGAAAGTGAGAAATCTGATGCAGATACACAAAATGATAAAACGGAAAGGGATGACGGCAATTGTTATTGGTATTGTCTCTATAGTGTATCATTATTAATTTATAACTAAAACCTTTTTTTTTTTTTTGTTATGTTGAATTTAAAGTTTTCTTGAGTCATATTTACCAATGAAATGTTTCTTTAAGTCAGTGAATCATTCAATCTATCAAGATTTAGTATGCACTACTGTGGAAAAAGAAATTCCTCTGATTATATAATTCTATTTATATACTTACAGATTATCAAGATGTAATATTTTTTTTTTTTTGTTCATATAAAACTATTCTAAAAAGAAAAAAAAGTGTCCACACTTCACAGTTTTTCTGTTAACATTAAATTCACAGATTTCACGAAACAACTGATTGAAATGTAGAAAAGATTTAAAGAAAATGCCTACATTGGTTTGGCCATTTAAAATGAAGGTAGGAAAATCACTATGGGAAGTATTATGTTGATAAGTTGATGAAAAAAGAAGATGAGGTAGACCAAAAAAGCCTTGGAATATGGTGAAATTTAGATAGATTAATCTGGAAGCAACCCCGAGTAAAATTCAGTTAAGGATATTCTTTGGTTCAATGAGAAACCCTTTTTAAAAAATCTAAAAAATAGTTGAAGAACTGTTCTATTTTTTAATGATGTAGAGTTGGTTGACCGTTGATATGATATGAGAAGGAATTAGTCGAGGGTGCGGTCAAAAAAATAAAAAAATTAAAATATATAAATAATTTTAATTTTAATTTTAATTTAATTAAAATTATTTATATATTTTAATTTTTTTATTTTTTTGACCGCACCCTCGACTAATTCCTTCTCATGTTCTATTTTTTATATACAAATTTTAAATTATTAATAGAAGCATTCTCTCTATTTCATTTATTGGTATTCATTTATTTCCTTACGGGATATATTTAATTTTATGCTTACCTATTAATGTTTAAAATAATTTACTGACTGATATTATATTATTGGACCATTGGAACAAAACTTGAAATTTGCAACTGTTCCAGCAAAGTTGAGGCTCTTAATCCGTTTTCACAACTCATCCGATAGGCATGCAATATATTGTTTAGACATCTAAAAAATAATTACTACTCTAAACCATTGGAGCATTTTCAAGTATCAGGAAACAAGTATTGCTATATTTAGTGATATGTATTGTAAGGACCACATTTGGAATATACTTAATTATTTCAAATGAATAAATATATTCTAAATAATAATTGCTAACACATGTCCGGTTATCTGAGGGAGAGTAACGACCCACTAGGGAGTGCAACCTTTTCTGAGGGGCAATAAAACACCATAGGACAGTCGCCGGCCTACATACGCAGGCATTTTTAGATAAGATCAAAAAGCTTGTCTAAACAAAGGAGGGAACCAAAAAACTTTCAAGAAAGATGAAACAGCCGTACGGCCTGAAAGCTTGCTCATCCCTTATGCTATAAAAATTCAGCCAATGAGAGAAAACTACAAAAAGGGAGGTGGATAACTGAAAGGCTGGAAAGAGGGACAGAGAGCAACATAGACTGGAGAGTCCACAGAGGCAGCTTGAAGTCAATCTGGGAGATTCGCCTAACAGCTAGGAAAAGACAGCTAGAGATACCGGCTACACCCCTCACCATGAAGAAACAGCTAAGTCGTAACATTCATTTAGTTATACATATGTAAACTTGTGTTGGCAGTCATTAGCAATATTAGAATCAATAGATCATTAGTAACTTCAAGCAGACCTATCCAAAAAGCATTCTCCTCTAAAATGATTATCTAATTCTCATTGTGCATATATATTTTTGTTTTGTTTAAGTTTATAAATAATATAAATTATTATACCATCTTGATAATTTTACAATCTACCTTGCATGCCACCAATTAGTTATAGATACAAATAGTAAGTTGTTAAACACGATACCTTTTGAAAAGATATTCAATAAAAAGTATGTTATTCAATCTAGGATACTGCAATAGGGGGTCTGTGGTATCTAACCTTTAAATACATAATTCATTTATTTTTCAGTTGATTGGTTTCTTTCTGGAACCGATATAAATACAAAGATAAGTATCAAATACATTTAATAGAAATAAATGCGGTTCCTGGAACCCCTTACACGCCATAGAAATGCGAAGTCAAGGAACACAGCATTAGATTGAGTATTAATTTTAACAATAAACCATAACTACCTTTATTCTAAATAAATAAAATGATATTTTTATGAAATTTGCAATGATTATTTCTCATATAGTATGATTAAATACTACACCTGAATTATTAGTGTTGATTGATTTATGTAATACTACATTTTTCTTATAATTTTATTAATAGATAATAGGTTATTTAAATTATTTATACATCACTTAAATCATCATTGTCATTTTTAGTGGAAAAGAGCGGAACTTGAATATTATAGAACTTCTATGTGCCAATTGTAACAGATGGTTTCATGAATCTTGTATTGGATATCAACTCGGAAAGTTGGTACCATTTATGTTGAACTATGTCTTTGTTTGTAAAAATTGTTCAAACACCGGTTTAGAGAGTTTTAAAAAAAATCCACCATGTAAGTACTTTTCTTAAAATATTCCTTTACCTCACAAATTATTTCAGTTTCAGATTTATAACTATTCTTATAGGCCATAATGTCAGTTTTAATGGTAAATTCTATTCATATATATATATATATATATATATATATATATATATATATTTGTAATGACAAATTTTCAACCATTTCATCAAATCTAAAAGATCCTATAAGAACAATCAGGTTTTAAGATTACAAGTGATAAGACATTGCATTTTTACAAGAAATGATTTTCATATATTGTTTCTTATAAAACAATCATGTTTCTTTAAGAAGAAGTTTTTAGAATTTTTTCTAGAAATGTTACATTTATTTTAGTCTTGGCTTTATTTTTACTTTCACTTGCCTAAATATGTAATATATATTAGTAAGAGAAAGCATTGATCGTGAAAATTTTTGAATCTGAGTTTTCAACAAAAATACACGTTTTGATCCCCTGAGTCCAATTAACCAAGTGCTGCAAAATGGTGTGCGTTCGTGTGTGTTTTTTTAGCGTCTAACTAAAAAAAAAAAGTGAAATTGCATATTTAAGGTTTCTATATTCCTGGGATGTTACAGCAACTTTTTCGTCAAAATCGGCTAACCAGAAGTAGCACTTCATACCATTGATGTAACACATTTTTACGATTTTCTCAAAAACGGCTCTTAACGATTTTAATAAACTCAGTATATCAATGTATTATTAAGTTCTTTTAAATATAACGTAGGTCCTATCTACATTGTTGTCACTTTACAGGGTTTAAATGCCCAATGTTCATATACGTCTTCCTCTAAAGTACCATTAATTTGGTTTATTATTAAAAAGTTACTCTCTTTTATTGACAGTAACTATAAAAAATGGCTAAATATAAAGTATGAAAGAATTTGATAATTGAAAAATGGAGAAATGAGGGGAAAACGTTTATTCAGGTCGAAAATGAATCTCCGGAAATACTAGTCAGAAAATATACGTATAATATATCGCTGGAAAGCAGAGAATTTTAGAAAAAAACAATATCTAGTGTAGAAAGTCGTAGAAGATAATGGAGAATGACGAACAATTATAAGTAATAATTTGTGAAATCTAATATTATTTAATGGAAATCACATGTTTCAAAGAAAATTAAAGGACACTTACTAAATGTAAAATTTTAAAAATTGTTTTAAGTATGAAAAAAAAAATTTAAATCTACTAAAACAAGCCAATGACATTGTTTAAAAAACTATTTCATTGTACTTGTTTGAAAGAATAAGTAAAATATAAAAATATTACATGGTTCATGTACAACGTATGCTGATAACCTTAAATACATTAACTGTAGTTTAATAACTCTAGATCCGATATTATATTTAAATAATTGTGTATACTTCTTCAATTTATTCCAAATTTCTTTGTGAAATCACATTTGACGTTTGACCTATCGATGCCATATTTAATATGGTATATAAAAAAAATGACTGTTTTTCAACTAAATATTTGTATTATTATTCCTGTGATATAAAATACAATTAATACTCAAAGTATAGTCCATTGTTATCTACCATCGTTAGCCATCTGGTAGCAAATTGCTCAATCCCACGCTGATACCATTCTTTGGGATTGCTGTCAAAGAACTCTTTACCGCAACTTCAACTTCTGCAAAATTATCAAATCTGGGCCATGGATCTAAATAAGTAATAATCTGATGGTGCGAGGTATGGACTATATGTTGGATGAGGCAGGAGTTAGAGACCATGAAGTTCCTTAAACTTTTCTTTGGTTCGACAAGAAGTGTGAAGAGGAGCATTATCTTGTTGCAATACAATTCCTTTTTGGCTAATCAAAGCAGGATAACGCTCTGAAAACTTCGCATAAAATCTTTCCTGTTGTTGGGAGTAGAGTTCAAAATTCATAAAGCATCCATCAGGAACAAATTCGTGATAAATAACACCTTCAAAATTCGAAAAAACACTAAGCCTGGATTTTTTTTTTTTTTAAATTGTCCTCTTGCAGTAACTAGAAAAGCAGTTTGACTGTGATCTAGCCATTGCTCACGGGCATTCAGATTTCGGCAGTAAACCCACTTCTCATCACTGCTGACGATTTTGGCTTATTTTTCAAGTGATATATTGAAATTGAAGGCAAGATGGTCAATATAAAATCTAATCTCTTTCTAATTTTATGAGATTTGTTGTAGTTTTAGTATTTCTGAAATTATTAGTTGTATATAAAGATAGTATTTTTTTTTCAAATATTCTCAAATGAATTATTTTTTCAAAATGCTTAAAATTTGTTTTTGTTTGTTACTTTTGAACTGTAAAATTGATTTATATTGGTTGGCCATCTAGAATTGAAACACTTGAAGGATTGATATAACATAAATATATAAATTCATTATAGGAAAAATTCCATTTCCCTTTAATCTTAAAAAACTGAACGTATCTTCTATTTTAAGTCAAATAAATTTATAAAATTTTAATTTTAAGCATAGTATTTTTCATTATTTAATAATTAGTTTTACCAAAGATATTGCGCTGAAAGAAAATTTAGTTTTTTTTATTAGAAAAATTAATCAATGTCAATTTATAAAATGAAATTTAAATTGAGAATAACAAATTTTATCTTGAAGACAATTACCTTGGTTTTAATTTTCGAAATCTAAAAACTCAAACAATGCTTAGTTAGTTTAGTATTCTCATACTGTCATCTTGTATATGTTCAAATTGCATGTATGTTAGTTTATTTCTTAAAATAATATTTATTCAATAAAAGGAAATTTATATTAAGATTGAGAGTAAGTATAAAGTAGTATTTTTTAAAAATAATTTCACATCAAATAATTATTGAAACCAATGGTTATAAATTCAATTTAATTTTTTTTTTCATTTAAAAAAACTAATGTTTATTTTAGTGTTGCTTTTGTCCAATTTTCTTTTTATATAAATCAGGTCTCTGTTGATTGTCAATAATGATAATTTTTTTATAGAAACAATGGATCAATTAATGTTTTTATAAATTATTTTTAGTGTTTCCTCAAATATGTATTACTGCTATTGCAAACTTGATGCAAACTAGTATCAAAGAAGGGAATCCCAAGATACAGTTTACGAAAGATAAAGATATTATTCCTTTTATTGAATCACATTGGGAAGGTATCACAACTTTTGCTAAAAGAGTGAAGCAATCCATGCACTCTTCTGTAAGTAAGTTGTAAGGTATTAATTTTATTTTTATTTATTTATTTATTTTATATCATAGTAATATTATAATTAAGTTTTTATTTTTCATGCCAAATTCATTATTTAAATTATTTTTTATTTATTCATTTTATGTTGAAGTATTATGGTACATCATTGTTTACATTTAAAAACCTTATCCAAATATTGATATTATCTCTTGATATGAATTCCCTCTTATCTGTAGCTGCTATGTGTGTATACAAAGTATTTTTTAATTGTAAAATAATTAAGGTGTCGTTCCTCTCATTTACAAAGACTACATAGTAGTTTTAAATAATCAAAAAATTTTAATTCTCTTTACGTATAATTATCATAATGTAATATTTATTTCATTAATACTTATTTTATATAACATTTATTTTATTTTATAATATTCTGGATCATTGAATTATGTATCGTGTTGTGAGACTTAGCTCGTTTCAAAATTCTTATTTCTCTAATTTCAATCAACCAGGAATAAGCCAAACTGATTGTTATTAACTTGAAAAAAAAATTAAAGACAATCAATTTTATTAAAATAAAATTATAACTACCTTTAATTAATAAAAAAAATGTTTAATGTTGTTAAAAATAAAACAACAACCACAATTGAACAATATTTAACAGAAGGGAACCATTCCACATGTTTCAAGTAAACTCAACTCAAAGATAAATGGTGTCAGAAAATCAGGAAACTTTCTAATAAGTATATTTTCTTGTTTGTCACAAAACTAATTTTATGTCGCATTTTAGCTGACCTAATAAAAATATTTCTTTGATATTAATAGAAATTATTATTATTTTTTTTATTTGTGAAGAGTAAGGCTAAGTCCTTTTCAAAATCACCTCTAACTGAAGTTTGCATATTTTATAAATTGGTTCTCTTCTGCTAAGTCAGTCCAATTATAAAAAAATAAAGATAATATTTCACTACTATTTGAAAAATATTTTTAATGTAATATAAAAAAGAGAGAATGAAAAAAATATTCAAAATTATATGTTAAAACGATATTCAGCTATGTCAAGCAAGCCTAAATATAAACATTATGCTCAAAATATTTAGCTATCTTGGATTCTAGAGCTAAGAAAATTATAAAACTAAATGATTGCCTTTTTTTTTTTTGAGATCGGTATTTTTCAAAATTATACGGGAAAAAGCCGGAAATTTCATTGCCAATTTTCAATACACACCCTTTTAAAGCATTAGTTCTGATGCATATTAAAATAATGAATTAGTACCATGTAAAGGTTTTCATGTTTAATAGATAAATATGAATATAAACATCGATCTGACCATAATTGGGTCGAATTTATATTTAACAGTAATTAAAATTCAATTTTTAATTATAAAATAAAAACATTAAACCAATTTTAATTAATTTTAAGCAATTAGGTCATTTATGTAGGTAATTTTTATGCAGGTAAACAGCACTGAACCAACAGGTAAACGTCCGAGGGGTAGACCGAGGCGTAGATGGGAGAATTGTGTTAGGTCTGATGTTGTAGATATGGGTTTTGACGGGGTTCAGAGGAGGGAGGTATGTAGGCAATGAGTGTTGGTAGTATCGGCAACGAACCTCCGGGTTCGTTGAGCCATATTATTATTTTTATTTTTATTATTATTATTATTACTTTTATTATTAGTATTATTAAAGAAAAATTATTTGTAATATAGAAATTAATTAGATTTATTTATTTATATTTTTAACATACTTTGTCAGGCATGATAAATCATCATTATTAATTATCTGCTTGTATCACATATGCCAGTTTTTGAAGTGACATTAATAAAATATTAGAGCACTCAATTATATTTTCTCAAGTTTTACAGGGAGTTCCAGGAGGTTCAAAATTAAAAGAAGAATTGTACATCTAAGCACCCACCACCACAATCACATGCATGTGAATGAGTCAATCTGTCTGTAGACCCAGTTTGCTCTACAACATAGCAAAAGGGTGATGCCATTTAAAAATCTTATCAATTCTGAAGTGCATGTTATAGTTAGTTTTTTTAATACACAAAATGTTCGGCCAATCTAAATGTATCGAACAATAACGCAAGTATATGGTGATAATGATAATGAAATGAACAATTATTCAGTGAGAAAATGGTGCATAGTGTTTAATCAAGGAAGAACTAGTGTGCACGAGAAAGACCAGAGCGGGAGATCTCCCGTTAACTGTTGTTTTACTTTAGAAATATTTCATGAATTTTTTTAATAAATTTCAAGATTTTTCCTGTATCAATTAGTCTCAGAGCACCGTGGTTACGAACAAAATCATGGTAGATACCAAATATTTTGACTGAAGTTTGTAAACTGACAGGAGTAACCCATTGATGTTTTATTCAATTCAAATATCCCTACTCCATTGTAACGGGAAAGAAACTTGAGTTTCTTCTTTAAAAAACAGTTTAGTTCTGGCTACAGTCTACAGAGTGATGCTAGATAAACTCACCTACAGACCTCTTCCCTTCCACAGAAATCTTCATACAAGAAAATATAAGCCAATAATTGTTAGGACCAAAAGAGTTTTATTTATGTGAAGCTTATACCAATAGAAAAAACAATAAATTCAGTGACCTATCATGAAACTCAACAATTACTGTCTAAAACAAGAAATGTTTAATCATACTATAACATTGTTTCCTGGATGCTCCTTATAAAATATTCATTAGAGCAGAATTCTCATTTTTAGTTTTGAACATTAGCTAACTATACTATACTATTAGTAATGTCCACTTTTGAAAATATTTTGAGTCAATAAGTCAATAAATTATTTTTTATTGAATAATGAAATGAGATTACATTGATTCATGTTTTATTATTGTTGGGCCAGTATTAAACTATTAAAGTTCTTTGACGATGATATTTCATAAACATTGAATGCAAGTTATACATAAAAGAAATGTTACAACTCACAGTATTGTTGTTAAACTATGTAAATTTTTTATAAAGTTTAGGGTAGTTTCAGCAGTCATCGTTGTGGTTTTAATAAGGAAAACATAAATATTTATTTGTTACCCATCGGACGTTCGGCATGAGTTGAATGAATGAAAAATATTGGTAAATCTAAGAAGTTACATATATTTTTTTAAGAAACCTTTAAATTCTTAGTCCTGAAAGTGAGACCTTTTAAATTAAAATAAATGACACATTTAGGGTACCCAATCAGTATTATGGAACAACTGATGGTGGTTGAGATTTTTAGCCGAGACCTACACAAATCTCTAGTATAGCACTCGCATCTCCCAGTGTCATCTTTTAAGCATCATGCCAGAAAACTGTCAAGACATCTATGAAAACCTGAAGAAAAAGTTTTTGAAAGTATTTATTAATGTATATAATGACTTTATTGTTAATGATTCGCTGTATTCATATTGCCAGAAGATACAATTTATTAACTAACTTGCAGGTATTATGAGTAAATTTGCATACTGTCAGTCAGTTTTATCTGTTTATTTCTATTTCTTTTATCGATTGAAAAGGATTGAAGTTAGGATTAAACAAAAATTTTACAAGTTTGTTTTGTTTATATTATTATTAAGTTTTCCTGAAAAGAAAGCAGGATTTCATATTTTCTCTATATGAACCCTCAACATAACAAACCTTACATTTGGGAGATTATTCTTTTGTATAAGTGTTAACACTTATTAATCCTCTTCCGAATAAAAATGTTTTTTATTTTCTGAAACATTTCATCAATTGGAAATAATTCAGTTTTTACAAAGATGTCAAAGCATAAATTTTTGTATAGTTTTGTTTTATTAGTTTAAACTTGGTCAGAACGGAGCCTAAACGCCTAGAAATATTTATGTATGAGAGGGGAGAGAGGTGGCAGTGTGTACAGTTCAATGATGGTTCAAAAAATTTCTAGAGGAAAAGGACTTCTTCCCTTGATGGGCGTGCTCTCTGGCTTTGATGGGATAAAATCTCAGAACAACTGTTTGAAAGAAACTCTTAGTTAATAAATTGATCATTCATCTTCCTCAATGCAATTGGAAAGCTAAAAAAGCTTGAGACTTAAGTTCCTTATGGATCAAAAGACTGCCTAAATAATCTTCATTATGAAGTTTTTGTTGCTTTTTTTGTCCAAAACAGAAACAAATGCCTTGCTCTCCAGATCTTTCAACTACCATTTTTTTTTTTAAACATCTGTCCATTTTTTAAAAGGTAAAAATTGTATTGATCAAATTAATTAGAATATGCGTTTTCATAAGTTAATAATAATAAGCAGTCAACATTTTATTTAGAAGAAATGGAAATGTTACTATCACATTGGTAGAAATGTATCATAGAAAGTAATGAAGTATATTTTTATTAATAAAAATAGTTTTATATCATTTGCATTATTTATTTTATTTTTAAACCATAAAACTGCACGAATTTCCAGACTATCAACTACAATTGTTATTTTAAACATTATAGAAGAAATTATATGATCCATATACAGCTAGTTTTGTCACTATCATGAACTATTTGTTGTGGGCCATGAATAAGAACTAATCACCCCAGAAAATCTATTATAAAATATTGGATTAAGATTATAATAAAAGAACTTCATTCAAAATTGTCTTTATAATTTTTGTTAATTTAAGTTAAGCTGTTCTACTGTCATATATTTCATCCGATTTGTTTTATAAAAGATCTTTGTCAAAGAACTTTTGTAGTGTAATGCTGGCTTTACATAGAAAAACTGGCATTTCATTCAATACAAGCAGATAATTTTTATATTTATTCTAATATATCTTTTAAAACATATTTTTATATTTGATTAGATGATTCATTATTACATGAGTAAATATTTTAAGATGACTAACATGTTTTATTTTTAGTTATTTGTGTTTGTTTATTCAATGCTTTTGAGTCATACAACATATTTGTCAGTATCATTCTGATGTTTTAGGTATTGAGAGCTCTTGTTAAGGACACAAACGTCTCATTTTTATGCGAAGACAGTCCTGAAGAAGGGACTGTCTATTCCCTTATCCAACAAGATTTGACTCAAATCAAACCCAATTACGAAGCGATGATAAAACAAGGGCAGCTCAAGGTCACTGACATGGGTGTCCAACATGGTAAACAAGGGCTTAAGCATGGTAAATGTTGTTTTTATTTTTTTAATATTATTTTTGCCCTCCCCATTCTTGGATGTATTTGAAGAATATCAAAATGAAGTAAGGATTAATGAAAATGTTTTTTTATTTTATTTTTGCTCGCAATAATGAAGGATACAGTCAAACCTTTCTATATCGAATTACAGGTTGTCTATCTATATTTATCTATACAGGGTGTCTCATTTCTTAATGGCGAAACTCTGAGGGGTGATTCTAGACAAAATTTCCGACAAAAAAGTTCTTTTGGTGCATATGCTGATTACGAACGAAAACAGAGTTACAACAAATTTTATGTTTTTCTTAAGGTGCTCATGTTGTTTATTAAATAAGAAGCAAATGCTCAAAAACTGTTCAAGATAATTAAATTTTAAGTATACCATCGTAAAGTAGACCAAATTTTTATTAGAAAACCTTTAGTAAGGTCAATGATGAAAGGCACTTTAAATTTACTAAGATCAATGATAAAAGAAACTTTCAGGAGGTCTAATACGGCCGTTGTACCGATGCAGTTATAGTACCCGTACACGAGCAGCATATTTCTGTACAGCGGCCTTATTAAACCTGCTTAAAGTCCCTTTTATCATTGACCATAGTAAATTTAATTAATGTTTTCTCAAAAAAATTTCTTCTACTTTACGATGGTGTACTTACAATTTAATTATATTGAATAATTTTTGAACAATCCCTTCTTATTCAATAAAAAACGTGACAACCTTAAGAAAAACACACAATTTGTCATAACTCCTTTTCCGTTTGGAATAGGGCCATGCTTGAAATGAAGTTTTTTGTTGGATATTTTGTCGAGAATTACCCTCCCCCCTCTCTCCCTCCAGAGTTTAAGCCATTAAGAACTGAGACATCCTATTTATTGAAAATCTCTCTTTCCTCCTCACTCTCTCTTTATATTTGTTATACAGAGGTTAAACTGTATTTAGTTGTTCTGTGTAGCTGTCTTGTGTCTGCCTGATGAGTCTTGTAAATATTTAAATGGTTAGTTATTAGTATTTTATCTTTTCATTTTATTAAGGTGGGCTATTATCATTGTTCTGTGATTACTTTTATTTGCTTGAATCTAGGATGATTATTTTTATTTTTACAATTCATATGGAATTTATCCTCATTTATTTTAATGGAATGTAATCATTAATATTTCTACCAAATTATACCCAAATGCATATTTATTTACTGATAATTTTATTTAGTAAAATGCATGATCGAAGAAATTTATATTATGCATTTTTTTTTTTTAATGAGACATGGTTTGCATGTATTTATGGATCTTTATAAATTTTTTACTCATATTAAAAAAAAATGAAATACTACATGGTTAAAAAGACTTGTAATTTATTCAAATAATGGCTTACATAGTCGTATCATACGAAGTATCGGTTTTAAGGAATAAAATAGGTACTCATTTTTTGATTTATTTTTTAATAAATCTCAATTTCTACTGTGCTTGTATAGCCTCCCTATTATTGAACTGATTTTGTTTGCAATAATAATAATTCCGAATGCTTAATATTTGTATAAGTTCTTGACATATTGAAATCCAAAACATCTTTAGAACTTTTTTTATCTGTTCCTCTTGTCCATTCTACTCAAATGATTTTTTTAATCAATATTAAATTTTTTTAATATATTAAGGAACATTATTACTAATCTTTTAAGGTTATAAGTTGTCAAAAAAATTTTTGGATTCTTGGCATAATTATCTTTTTTCTAATTTTCTGTTATCTTGATTTTTTTATTACTACTGTAGACCTACAACTTCTGCCAAAACTTTAGCACATATTATACACAGTATATTATTTTAATTTATTTTATTTTTAACCGCATCACCGATATCATTTCTTTGTTTTATCTATAAATAATAATAATAATATGTGTTTGAATTTTATTTAGCATTGTAGTAATTGAATATTTTAATCATCCATATAATTTTTAACTTACCATAATTCTAAAATGATAAAAAAAACAAATTATCCAAACACATATTTTCCGTTAATGTTTATTAATTATTACATTATTTAATGAATCATTTGCTGAGGTTAGTATTATGATTTATTTGGCATATTGTAACTTTTCAGTTCGTACTGTAAAAGTTCTGTTCACATTTTATTATTAATATTTACAACTAATCACCGCTGTGAAAAAAACTGTATTTGATTATTATCATTCTTTTCTTGGGTAATAATCATAAAGACTTTATAAATAATAATTACAAAGATCTTGACGGCATTGGTTTATTGATATTAGAAACAAAATTTATGTTTTGGTATAGTTAAGTGCTGAATAATATATGTTTAAAATTTGTCTGCAAAGCATTAAAATAACAATGTAAGTATGTGTTAAACAGTACATATAGTTATATTCTATATAGGACTAAAATAAATATCTTCTCATCTCAATTGAAATAATTTATGTTTTCTTTCACAAACTTAAACGTTTTATATTTATTTTATATCTATTTAGAAGAGAGAAGATACTAATCCACATATTTTAACTGTTAAAATCTTTATTTTTGATACCTTTATTCTTTAATTATTCTTATATAATTATGTTGATGTAGACATCTTTAACATTAAACGTGGTTTCTTATTTTTGTCTTTTTGATTGATAGTTTTGAAATAAAACAAATTTTCTGTTGCAAAATGTGTTACAAAAATTGAAAAAAAAAGTTGTAAAGATTGTATTGCTTATTATCAATCTTAACGTTGATTATATATAATATCATATCACACAGCGATAATTAGTTATTTTCTTCCTGAAAAATGGCAATATTTTTCTACAAATAATTATATATAATAAATGTATCCTGATTTGAAATACTTACGATTGTTTTGGATTTTAATACATTTATGTATTTGTTTTAAAAAGGTTATTTTTTACTACTAGAACAGGATATGGGGTTATCTTACACATTACTAGTCCATTCTTGATAGAGTTAAATGCTTTGATTTATTCCAAAGGTTCATCGCGAAATCAAAGTCCTGGCCAGAATGATGATCATTATGAGCAGTTGAGTCATTTTGTGATTTGAGGACTTTTTTTTAATGCTAAAATAAAAGATGGGAAAAAATTGCCAATGTTTAATTTTTATTTTTATCTTTTTGTGCAGCTAGTGGAGGTGGTACCATGAGGAGAAATGCAAAGAGGAAAGTGCCAGAATCGGGGCAAGGGCCCGGTAAAAAGTCGAGAGGTGACGTGTCCCTCCCAAAGCTGCCTGCTCATGGATACCCAATGGAGCATCCTTACAACAAAGATGGTTATCGTTACATACTTGCTGAACCGGATCCTCATGCTCCTTTCAGGCAGGTACTGCAAGTTCTACTTAATTCAAAATTCAATTATTATAATGCATAAATGGATTTTTCTTGGCCCTAAACGAACATACAACAGTTACTTATCGGTTCTAGGAATTTGATGAAAGCAGTGATTGGGCTGGTAAACCTATCCCAGGATGGCTCTACAGAACTCTGGTGCCTGGAACTGTTCTTCTGGCGCTTCATGACAGGGCCCCTCAATTAAGGGTTTCAGAAGATAGGCTTTCAGTCACAGGAGAAAAGGGTTACTGTATGGTCAGGGCCACACACTGTAAGTATACTTTTTTCATTATCATTAATATTAATTAAATGTTGTATGATTTTAATCAATATAAGATTTCATTTATGCCTGTTACAATATCAGGTAGTATTGTACCGCATCTATTATCACACTGATAAACGGAGTATGATAATTATGACCAAGTGCTGCCAATCGACTTCAATATGGTGGTACCACTGTGATTTTTTTCATTTTAACTTTATTAACAAAACAATCCATTTTGAAGAAAGCATCTTCTATATTTCACAAAAAAAAATGTAACCTGAACAGATGACAACACAATTGTTTGAACCAGACCGGAGAAACTATTAGATGCATATAAATATTGTTAGAGTGCATGAACAGTCTATTGCAGCCCAGGTTTATGAAAATGCATCTAAAATTATAATTATATTGTTCAGTTTTTCACTATGCAATGATAAATTTATATTATCTGGAATTATCGCAGTCATTAAAAGAATTATTAAAACTAATATTTTTAATGAAAATAAATTTTTTAATGACACATGATATCATCCAATAGTTATTGTTAAAAATATTTATAAAAAATAGTTGAATAAATAGGTTTCTAGAATTTGTCTTGAATAGTTTCTTTTCATCAGTATTTTGTGTATTTATTGAGCTGCCAAATTATTAACTCTCTAGTAATATTATGTTGGTTGTATATTGTTAAAATATAAAAAGATATATATTTTAGGTGTGAGTAAAGGGACTTGGTATTATGAAGTAACAGTTGACGATATGAAAGATGGGTCTGCATCAAGGTTGGGTTGGTGCCAAGAATATGCCAACCTTCAAGCCCCGCTGGGCTATGATAAATTTGGTTATGCTTGGAGATCCAGGTGAGTTCATGAAAATAAATTAATATTTAAGTTAGTAATAAATGATTTTTGGTTAAACTTAATGGCACTTGGTCATTCGTATTCTACATATATACATTTTTATTTATTTGGCCATTTATATCCATTAACATATCCAATATTGTTCAAGATGTTGGAAAATTATGAACTTGGCCTGATTTATTTTATAATTATCATAGGATATTGGTAATATCGTATCATACGTGTCCTTTTTTATGTATAATACACTCATAATTACTATTCACTTTGTGGATTTATTGTTTTATTGGCTGAAAATTTTGTAACTACAAATTTACTTCCTTTCTTATTTTTTATAGGAAAGGAACCAGATTTCATGAATCTCGTGGGAAACATTACAGTGATGGCTATGGAGAAGGAGATACGCTCGGATTCTTAATTCATTTGCCCCACGATGAGAATAAATCATATATTCCTGTGACATATAAAGACAAGGTATTTTATGATGTTAATGATTGGCATTTCAATTCACTGCTATTTAATTGAAGATCCAGCTTCACTTCATGTTTCTTAATATTAAGTTAGTTATTTTTTTGTGTTAATCTTAATGTGACCTAATTCTATTAAGGTGCATCATTGAGAAAATTGTGTCCATATTTCCTCAATTGATTGATGTCATAGAGTGAAGAAGTGTAATGTTCCAACTAATAGCTGCTCTATTGTAATTTATAAAGGTACTATTTCGCTGGCGCTGCCCACGACAGCGACCGCTATTTCACACTGCCAGCCGTAGTACTGTTGCGTAGCTATTACGCTGAAGCTGCTCACTGGGGTTGTTATAACCTGCCTATAACCTTCGAACATTTCATTCTATCTTCAAAGATAAAAAATGGACTTATTATCTCTTACTACCACTTTTTTATTCTTTTATATTTTAATTTTAATTCTTCTATTTATTTAATATCGTTTGGATTTAGATATATTTGAATTTTGCTGTAAAATAATTTTGGTGGGATAAATAAATAAATAATCTTGTTACTTCAACCTTAGAAAAATAATTTACTATTGCGTTGTTTAAGTTTTAAACAATATTTCTTATAATTTTGCCAGGCTTGAAAGAAGCATAGGAAATAAAATTTATCAACGTGACTGTTATCATGAAAACAATGCTCTGATATGATAACATGTGAACAGCTTAGATGTGACATCATACGTGGACTGCCGAGCAGCGCCAGTGAAATAGGTTCCTTTCTATTCCACTAAAGCAGTGATCAACCGCAAGCGGTCGTGGCCTTGGGCAGCGCCAGCGAAATAGTACCTTAAGACAGTACTCAAGTTATTGACTCCATCCCGTTGTTCTATTTCCACAATATTAGCCAATGTGATAATTTTTTTTTAAATTATAGAGATGAGATATCATAATTGAAACAACTATTTATCTTCAAAAAATTGAAAGTCTTCAAGAAAAACAAATTTGAAACTGATGTGATTTTAAATAGATGGGGAATAGTGCTCTCCACTTAAGCATGGATAATACTATTAACAGGACTATTATTAATTACAAATAACATTATTTTGTAGTGTATTAGTTCCGTAGATTCAATCACGGTGCATATCATACTTATTTTTTTATTATCGGCATCCTCTCAATATTTAAAGGATTGATAACACCTTTTTTTGTCAGGTAATTGAACATAGTTGATTAGCCATTCTTAATTTTGCCCTAATGTCCGTTAATAAGTTTATCTTTTTGCCAAATTGATTTTAAAGTCAAATAAATCTGTTCCTCTACATTCCTATTAGAGCAGAGACTCTCCATATTTGTTCTGTCTTGTCTAGGGAACAAATTAAGGGTTAGATTTTAGTATTACTAGAACATACATTTTTTATGCTGCCATTCATAACATGCCAGCATTTCTTTATCTCTGTTTCATAAAAATTAAAATTTAATTTATTTAAAATTTTTAATTTTAATTTGAGATTTCAATATCTCGTGAAGGAGAGAAGCTCTGTTTGTGCTTGTTACAAGCTGGTCTATTAATTTTTATTTTTACTAGTAATTTTTTGAGTTTATTGTGTCGTCTGATTCAAATCTGTTTACTTTCAGGATAGATTTGGCTTAGTATTATGTATTGTATTTTTTTAATAATAATAATAAGGCTTAGCGAACCCGAAGGTTCGATACCGACACCACCAATCGCTTGTTACACACCTCCCTCCACCGTTCGCCGTCCAAACCCAGTCCCTTCAGATCGGCTTTAATGCAATCTTCCCACCTTCGCTTCGGTCTACCCCTCGGACGCTTACCATTCGGCACAGCAAATATTAACCTTTTAGGAATTCTCTCGTTACTAAGCCCAACAACTTTACAAGCCCATTTGATTCGCCGCGATGAAATTACCTCAATTATATTACCCGGATACAGCTCACGCAATTCGGCGTTGTGTAACAGTCTGAACTCTCCGGTTAACTCATCCTTCTTCGGTCCGAATATTCTACGCAATACTTTATTTTCAAAAACCTTAAGACGCTGCTCATCCCTTAATGTAAGCGTAAATTGTATTTTTTTAATAAGTTATTATTTTATTAATAAATTGTACTTTTATTTTTAGCCTCTTGTTAAATTCAAAAGCCATTTATACTATGAAGAAAAAGATAGAGTTGCCGAGTTCCTTAAAAATTTGACTGTCCTACCTGGAAGCAAAATCGTATTTTTCAAAAATGGAGTTTGTCAAGGAGATGCTTTCCTTGACATTTATGGTGGTTCCTATTATCCTGCCGTGTCATTGCATAAAAATGCTACGGCTACCATTAATTTCGGACCTCATTTCAAATATCCTCCTAGTGAAGAAGAATTTTCATACAAAGGAGTAAGTTATTTGATTTTAACATTCTTTAATTTAAAAACAATAAAATATATCTACACATATATATTCTTTTCATTTTTTTTTTTTTTTTCATAGATGTACTTAAAATCTGAAGAAGCAATACGGGAGCAGACAATGGCTGATATCTTATACCTTACTGAAAATGACGGAAAATTAAGATTAGATACTTACTATGTATAGCTAGAATAAAGCCACATTACAGTAATGTGGCTTTCATTGGGTATTAAATTGTTTTTGTCACACAATTAATGCCATATATATTTAAATCTTCAAAAGATTTATTTTATTTTGTAAAGATTAATTTAATTTTTTAATGAAAATAAATTATGGTTACTAAAAGCGTTTATCAAACTGTTTTTAAACTTAGTTTTTGTTTTATTATTATTATTATTTCATTTAGTATTTTAATTTATATTGTTATTTATTTAAAATATTTGTAAATATGAGACAAAAAAATGCTGAATTGAGGGAAAATTCACCATTTGTATATTTATCTGTAATAAAACAATTACATAAAATGAATGTTAAGAGACCAAATGTACAGTTATATTATCTTATCATATTATGTGAAATTATTTTTGTAATTTTAAAGGCGCCTTATGTTATCAATCTTGTAATTCTACATTTTAGTGGTTTCATATCAAAGAGGGAAATCTGTTATTTTCAGAAAGCGGAGAAAAAGTTAATTTTTGTTTTATAGGTTCAACTCATACTGTTTATGATAATTTTATATAAGAATGTTCAAGTTGAATCATAGGAAAATCCTTAAAATTGCTTTAAATTGAAGCTACGTTACAGAAAATTGGTTTTTCTCAATTTTTAAAAAAAATGACAGATGTCTGTTTTTGATATTAAGCCCCTCATATTTTAAATTTAATTTTTATAAAATACACAAAAATAAAAAGTGGCCACCTTTAATTATTTGCTCAGGTTTTCAATAATTAATTATTTAGAAGTATGTATATATATATATATTTTTTTTTAGTACAAAAATTTGGTTTCTCTTGATTTTATCATAGCTATCATTCAATATGTCTTGACTTAACACAATTTCTGTGTACTATATTCTATATACTATGTATACTCAACTATTAGAATTATTACCCTTAATTATTGAATAGATTCTGGTAATGTTTGGCATCTCTTTATAAATCCTCCTTCTGATGTTCAAGAAGGTTTAGATGTCGGGCAAAATGACTAAAAGATGGTCTGTCACACTATATACCCCACATTATAATGTTAATGTGAAAGGTAGGCCATTTTGTTTTGTTTTTAGTTTCATCAAAGAACTTCCACTTAAGAAATAAATATGTAACTAATTTTATTTTCAAATTATTTCTGATGTACATGTTTTTACTTGTTAGATACTGTGCAATGGGTGTCAATAATTTCTTATCAACTGGTACTAAATTGTTTGTAAATATGTATTTTTAAAATATTACTCCTTCGAAAAAGAAGTTATAAATAAAAGTATAATATAATCTCCTGATTGTTAATAATTATCTTCCAACTCTAAATAATGGTTCAATATTTTAACTCAAATCCATTATTTCCTTACACCAATCCTCCTCATTAAATCAAACAATCGTAATAAAATAAAAGAATAATTTTTGTATCAAAATATTTAAAATGTCCACGTAATGTACTTTTTTCTTAACTAAACTACCTGTGATTGTCACAATTTTTGACTGGTAATAAACAGAATCACAAGACAAGAAATGAATTTTGAATCTAAGTTATCAACAGAAATTTTGAGGTTCTCCAAACAACCAATCTCTAGGCTTTTGTATTTCTTGTTAAAATTTAAGGACAGGATTTTGCTTAAATGAAAAATAGGATAGCAAGGAAATAGTAATTTTATCTGTATAAAATGAACCATCCTGGATAAAAAATAAGCTTTTTCTCTTTAGATATTATTTTTCAAAGATATTTTTTTGTTAATTCTTCATCAAATAAATAATTGAGCCATCATTTACCAAGATATCCTCCTTCAGGTGGGAAAATAAGATCTCCCAGGAATGTCAAGAGAAAAAGTTGTGGAAAAATGAGAACTTTATCTGTGCAAAAAGTACAAAATTTATAATTTATTACACCTATCATTATTTGAAAGGTCCCAAATTCACTACGTAAAGGAAAAAATAGATTTAGGTTTAGAAATAGATGTGCTAAAAACTATTTAAATTCTCAAACATTTATTAATTGTTAAATTAACTAAAATTATTTTTTTAATAAAATCAATTAAGTAAAAATTATATGAACTTTTTAATCAAAATTAGTCATAAAAAAAAAAAAATCATTTTACAAGTCTTAGTAGTTTTGGATTCTTCAACTATCATAAAAATTGCTAGTTCAAAAGCTCAGCACAACTCGACAATTAAATTTTAATTGATTGATATGCAAGTACTTTTACAAACCTCTCCACCAATATAGATATATATTGATACCTAAGAAAAAAGTCGCAACATAGTTATTATTATTCAAAATATATGAATGAATTGATAATTCACAGGACAATGGATGAACAAATCACAAGTTACTTTCCTTAATGTTGTTGTAAGGCTAGTAATTGATCATCAAATTAATTATTAATCAAAACAAGAATGATGGTGAGAACAGACAAGATTCTGACAAAGGAATAGGAATCTGTTTATGGAACTGGGATAAAATGCATTTTTGATAAGTGTTTTGTATTGTAAGATTTTATGGAACTGGGATAAAATGCATTTTTGATAAGTGTTTTGTATTGTAAGATTTTACAAGACTAGAAAACTTGTACAAATATAATCATGTGAAAACCAAAAGACATTTCTTTGTCCATAAAACAGTTGATGAAAGTGAGAGTAAAAAAAAAATTAATTAGAGCAAAGGTAAAATGGATTGTTTTATTTCATCAATTAAAATAATGGCGTTATCTCATGAACAAAAGATTAATAATGCAGTATCCTATGGAATATATAAACATAAAATTGATTAGCCAAAAAATGATTTGAGCCACCAAACAAAGGGTGTCTTGACACATAGAGCTCCATTTTTGAGAATCAATGATATATGCTTTGTACATCAAGACAGACCATATTAAGCTAGAGACTAAAACACCAGGTCCATTCAAATTATTTTAATTAACAATACTGAAAACAAGCAATTTTTCATTTCACTTTACAACTGTTTCAAGTTCAGTAATAATTCTCTGACTGCTAATCTTCCTGTAAATACCTTTTAATTAATAAAAAAAAAATGAGTTTTATTAAAAGTCTATATGACAGATGTAAGAGTCAGCTTTATTTTAGATGTTTTCAAAATATCGACCATGTAGTGAAAAAGAAAACCATATCATTTGTCAAATTATAACGAGCTTAATGGGCCAATCTGCAAACTTCTGTATTAAAATGATACAATATATATCAAAATAAATTAGTGAAGGTAAGAATGTGTGAAATGCAGATTGCTTATTTTACATAGCTCGGTCGATATAACAATAGATGTCACACTCATAAGTAAACCAACATATGTTTTATGACATTAAGGGATAGGTAAGGTAAAAACAATGAAGTATTGCATGACTAAATATATTTAAATAAAATTAATATTTTACAGATACATTGCTAAATTGATGGGAAATTTATATCTTTACACATCATAAGGCAATTTAGTTCTTACTACTGTTATTCATTATTGAAATAAAGAACCGTTACAAGATCTAATCAATTAGAAAAATAAATGTAAAAGTTATGAGAATATAAAAAGTATTAAAATATAATTTGATAAACAAAATTTAATACCAGTTAACATGCATGACACTATATTACATTGAAAAGGCTCCCACCATGTATATACAGATAATCAAATAAAGATCACATTAAATAAATTTCTTATATACAAAATCTAAAATATCAAGTTGTTTACGTTCATTACGACAGTACCTTTCAACAACTAGAAACTGTTTTAAATAAACATCATAGCAGTAACAAAATCAATTGGTTTGTTTAAACATAACACTATACAAGATAACTCAAAAATCACATTGAAGAATTTACATTACTATTTTGGAGGATCAATAGGCCTTTTGAAGAGGAGAATATGTGGTTCTGGAGAGTGAGTCATATAATGAATCCATCCAGGGCTCTGTGTGACACCGATGCTTCTCCATTCTTTTTCTGTCATTAATCTATTTTTAGGTATCAGGTTGACCATGTCTTTAGGAAGCACTACATGTCTGTACTCGAAATTGTCATCACTATACCTCTCCGAATAATAAATCTGCTTGTGAGACATTCTGAAACCGTCAATGGCAATTCTGGCCAAATCCAACAAAAGAGAACTTGAACGAAAATGGAGGGAACATGTAGCTAACGGTTTAGAAGTCAATGGTACCTAGATTTTATTATTTAATATTATTTAATCGAAATAAAGTTATCGATCAACATTTATATTAATAAAATTATTAATCAACATCGAAATTTTTCCATAATTTCAAGCTAGTGAGATTGATAAAAATATTTATAATTTTTTAAAAATCGTATTACGGTTATATAACCTAACCTCCTTGTATAACCTGAAATAAGATGAAATTACAGAAAAATTACAATGAAATAAGATGAAATTATTCATTGTTTCTATTTTTGTATTTTGTCCAATATTTATTCGTTACCTCATATTAAATTTAAAATCTTTATTTTTAATTAAACTACTTATTTATTAATTTTGTAAAATTAATAATCATGGCTTAATAAAATGTTTTAATGATAAAGAACCATATAAAATGATGAAATGAATATTTCATTCTATACCATTGAATATTTTAAAAATAATGTACCCGTTTTTTAAAAATTGGTATGGAATCCAATATTAAAATGATAACAGATACTTGTATTTGTTAATTCTACAGAAAAGCTAATATAAGCATGGCTTTAATTACAAACCTTTATTGTTTTTTAAAAGAAGTAAAAAGGCTGGCAATTATTTTCTAATACCATCAAATGTTTTGAAAATTAATACCATCCTAACACCATACATATTTACAGGAAAAATTCTTCAACTTAGCACTGAAATGAATTGTACAATCATTTTTCATTTTAGATATATCATACAATCTACCTTGCTAATAATATCCTTCTAAAAACTATTAATCCACCAATTAAAAGAAAAGGATCATAGTCCTATTTATCTTTGATTGCAAAAAAAGATTATATTTTGTTTCCCAAACTTCATTATGCTCCTTATTTAAATGTGCATCTGCTGCCTTCCTCCAAAATGACCATTATTCTTGAATTAGAAGCCTTTTTTTTTTTTTACAAAGGATATTAATAGCTTTACAAAGCATTAACCATCGAAGTAGAAAAAACAACTTGTTGCTAAGTGAAATGAAAACCAACGCTGTCTTTATTGCTTCTTTTATTCCTTTCTTAAGTCTTTTCTTTAAACTCTACTTTGCCGAAGTGACTCCTCTTGTAAATTCTCCTAAGCTTGTCCTTACCTCACTAATCTTGTTATTTTTTTCCACATCTTCGTTAAAACCTAATTAACATCCATTTTGGAAAAAAAAAATTTTAGAAATAACTAAACAATCAATGGTTGTCCTTGTGTGGTTCCAGTTTCTTGTTCCCCGAATACAGCTGTATCTATTCGATCTAGTAATAATCAGGCTTCCTTAGCTCCACCATCAGACCATCTCAATATCAGTTTTCCTCTTTTTCTTGTGCTGTGTTGTCGTTACTTGAGGAGCTATTTCAACACTTCCTCCTCTCCCATCCTTTGGGGACTATCCTATGCACTGTTTTTTTTTTTTTTTCAAAGTTTTATCCTGAATAATTAATTTTTGATTGACAATGACATAGAACGGATGGGACACAAATGTTAGGAAAGTATATAAACATATTTCATTCTTTACAAAAAAAAAAAAAAAAAATATCAGGTCGAAACGTCAGCATATGTAAAAATAAATATTACCATTGCCTTCCTTTTTGACTGACCACCCCAACTATTCTTCTCTTCATTAAAAATTATATTGGAATATAAATTGGGCGTGATATGAGAATCACTCATATTTCAAAATGGGATTGTTATATCCAAACAATCCTAGTAGTATGAGTACTAAATTATGCACCGCCCCTTTTAATTAGCCTCTGAAATGATTACTATTAAGGAATATGTGAGCATAGCAAAGCTAAAAAAGCAATTTCCCTGGATAGCTAAGCAATTCAGTTAATTTACCTTGAGTGTAGGGTTCGTAACATTAATACAGAATATGTACCATACCAAATTTAAAGTCTCCCTCTTGATAACTTGAGTCCAAAATGTATTATTAACAGTCCCACATGTATCCTATTTTCAAAACTTTATACTAACTCACCAAATAATACAGAAGTAAAATGATGGATGGCAGAAAATTGATTAAACTAGCATATTACACAATAAGATTATTTACTTAAAGGTTTATTTTTAAAAACAGTAAATTTGATTGTTTTTATACAATCAAATTTCGGATGACTCAAATAGTAATAATAACATTATTTGATTTATTTAAAAAGAAGAGTGTCAAGTACTGAAATAAAAATTGGAGGGAAAGACAAAGAATTAAATACAAACCTGAATATTAAAAATCATTAAATAAAAAATGAAATGTTAAACTTATGTGAAATAAACATATTACAAAAGTAATAGGAATTATTATATATTAATGTAGCAAAAAATAAAATAAAAATATTTTGAGAGAAATAACCTTTATTCATCAATTGTAAAGGCAAACTTATTTATAAAAAGCATATTTATTTATACATATATTTATGAACATCTAAACATTTTTACTATAGTTAGTTCCTTCTAACTTTCCCCATTGTACATGTAGTCTGGGTATTGTTACTTTAATAATATTATTACACATATATTTAGTCATTTTTACAATTGACAACCTTATTTATAAAATATATTTACTTTATTTATAATTAGCAAGCTATGTTCACCTTTATTGTTAAATAAAAATAGTTATAGATAGTTAAGAAGCATAATAAAATATATTACATTGTTAGCAATATTTAATTTGAGAAATCAATAATTTTTTTTTATTATTAAAAGTTGTAATTATAAAAAATATGTTGGTAATTGAAATATACATGAATCGAGGAATGTTTTAAATAAATATATACTTGCTTATCGAAATAAATATTGAAAAATACATTTTAATGAAGTAAAATTGTGCCTTCCCAATAACTTATTCCTTTTTTTTTTTTTGTGTGACAGTTTCATTAGATTAAGAAAACAAAACAATTAAAATTGCATCACGGACAAGACATTAACATTTATTTAGACATGAAACAGTATAAAAAGCACCTTTCTAAGGAAATTCTAGCTTTCTTTAATTTTTTTTTTTTTTTTTTTTTTTGATATGGTTAAATCATTACCAAAAGTATATAAATTATAAAATGTATTAAATATATAATTAAGTATCAGTCTCACATAAATTTAAAATATTAAAATCCCCAAGTATATTTCACAGAGAGATATTACTATAATCTATTCGGTATTATTTTGGACTTCGCCATTTACAACCGGTTGATTATTCCGGTTGAAATCACTACTTTCAGGAGAGGATACACTGTTTGATTTTGATCTACTTTGTTTTTTAGGAGACTTATGATGTTGATTTTGAGTTGGTTTATTTTGATTTTGTTGATTAGAATTATCATTTTGTTTGGGCTGCTCCTCTGTGTTTTCTGCTTGCTTAATGGTTTTATCGGTTTTGGGCTTCTCATTTATTTCAGTGTTTGGTTCTGGTTGATTTTCAGGTGTACGTTCTGGACTCTGAGCGACTGGTGATAATGTATGTAACGGTATAGAGTTGTCTTGAAACTTTTTCTTGATTTCTCTTCTGTTCAGTAGTTTAGACTAAAACAAAAATAATTTGATATTACCACAAGTAAATTATAATGAATTCAATAATTGAATAATTAAAAAATACAGTTTACTGTCTTTTCTCTTATTTGGCTTTCACGAGATGAACTCGACTAAATAAAGTAATACAGAGAACATTGCAAGAAATTTTCGAAAATTATACTTTCTGATGAACAAAGGAGTTTTGAAATTATCTTCGCCTTACAACATCAACTACCCAATATGCTTTGTTAATCTCTCAATTTCTCTGCAGAATGGATAGATTGTGTCTTTAAAAAAATATTTAAAAAGAAAATCGATAATATAAAATTTTTCATAACATTAAATTGGCAACATATCAACTTTATCCACTCATATCATCAATTCAAATATAGAGAATATCAATCAGGGATCACCAGTCGAGGTATTAAGACAGACAAAAATTGGACTTTTCAGTTGGTTTACTATTTCAAACCAATCATGCAGGCTTTTATCAGGGTTTAAACAATATTTCCACTGAATAAGAGTATTATTAAAACAATAATTCATCTTAAAGGAAGGAGATAGTCCGGGGTTGCGGTCATAAATAGGCTAAATAGTGGTAAAACTATTTTATTGAAAACTGAAGTTGAGTTCTAAGGGAAACTCCTAGCTGAACACACCTCCCTGAAGAAGACCTGCAAAGTAGGGGTGGAAACGTCGGCTTTCAATAAAATAGTTTTACCACTATTTAGCCTATTTATGACCTCAACCCCGGATCATCTCCTTCCTTTATAATGCAATGGTCATCTATTAAATATTCAAAATAATTCATCTTCATCAATTTCCATACAAAATTCTTTGGATTTATTCATTGCCGTCAACCACCTCTTAAAATAAAACTTCAGCTATCTATTTATTTCTAAAACATCAATCTAATTATATTTTATGCTTACCTAAAAACTGAAAATCTAAAAAAAAAAAATCTGAGAAAATTTGTTTTCTCATAAAGACAATTGGAAAATTGTCTGTAGCGATTAATAAGTATGCTGTGTTTAAAGCAACCCAATGTAATTGGGCAGCACCCTTTTATGATAATAAAGTGATTCTCTCTTTTTTAGTATACTGGAAAAGGGAACAAACTGGTTGATAAAATGCCAAATAAGAGAATTTTCTTAAGATAGTTTTTATTATTATTAAGTAATTCATATCATATATAATTATTTTTTTAGATTATTTAATCAATTAAGTTTTACAAAATGATGAATATTACTACTAAAATTTAAAAAAAAAATTGAAGTACTTTTATGATATCATTCTGAAAACATTGTAAAAATGTATACCAATGATTCTCAATCAGATTAAATGCTTATGTATGATAGGCAATCAAATAAATTTAGAAGAGATAATCGATCTAATAAATGAAGAGTTTTTGAAAAAAATAATTTAATTGCACCAATAATCTTTCTATAATGTTTACCTCAATAAAGAAATATATTAAGGACAATTTGAACTAGTCATTCTCCATGCATAATCATTAGTTATTTATTCAGTAACTGATCAGTGAATATACATTTCATGATATATAAATAATAACCATATCAATAACAGTTACCAGGGTATTTTCTATCAATTGTTGAACATCTCTTACTGTTGAATTCAGATTTTGTAGCTGTATTTGAGCCCTGGTGATGGCGAATGCTTTAGCTCCTTCAAGATGGATGGTCTAAAAATTAAAAGATTTAGTTCTCTAATATGAATTTAATTTATTTAAATATATCATTCCTAACTTATATATTACCTTTAAAAGCTGATTGATTATTTTATTAGTTTCATGTGTGATTACATGAACAGCTTGTGCAGTGTAGCCGGGGAGCTTATACGCAGTAGAAACTGAAAAGTTAGTGAAATGAACAACTCTTCTAGCGGCCTCCCTGGTAATCATAGCGATAAGCTGTTCTAAATTGGCAGGCGGTATCTGATTTTCTGGTTCATCTTCGCTTAGATGCGCCCACAATGCCTTCATATTGGCTGCAAATTGTTTTGGATCTTTTACCATCTAGAAATAAAACATTAAATGATGTTAATGAGAAATATTTATTTTATACAAAGACAAACATTAAAAATGCAGATATTTAGATTTTCAAGATCACTAAAAGTTAACATATTGATGGAAGGTAATGAAAATCTCACAATACCTTCAGTCTAGGACACCAATGAAACTCCAGTCTTGGATTTCTATATTCAAAGAGAGATTTGAAAGTACACAGATATTTATAATCTAAATATACCGTACAGCAATATTCAAAGTAGGGAAAAATTAAGGAAGTGACCAGGAATCTAAGGGTTTCAAGGGGAAATAAGTAGTTTAGGCATTTTAAGGTGGAAATGGTACGGCGGGAGATGTTGGATACATGATTTTTCCAGGAAAGCGTTTGATCGAAGGTTATTCCAAGGTTTTTGATAGAGGGATAAAATTTGATGGATAAAACATGATAATTTATAGATAAAATAAATAATTTCTGTTTCACTCCATCGTTTTTATAATTATTTTGTCTGAATGGTGTCTTAGTATTTTTTCTGAGTTCTCTGTTCAATTTTTTTCACATTGCGAAAATAATCTTCAAATAATCTGATCCTATTCATACCAGAAATATTTTTTAAAAAGTATTATAAATTATTTTCATGTATTTTTTTGGTAAAATTACCTTGAGGAATTCAATTTTTTTTCATTTGAAGAAATACTAATTCAAAGGTAGCTCAGAAATTAAATCTTAAAAGATAATACAAAATTGAATTATCATGTAGGAAAAGAGTTGGAATATGTGGAACAGTTTTAAGGAGGTGATTGGAGCCAATTAAGGTTGCCTTTGTCTTTTCCGCATTTAACTTCAACTTGTTGGCTCTCCCCCAGTCACAAATCTTATTCAAGTCTTCTTGAAGTTTTTCTTTGGCTGATAATAGGTCAGAGGGCGGGAAGGACAGGTATATTTGGAAATCATCTGCATAGATATGGTATTGGGATTAATGTAAATAGCAAACCTCATTGAAAAGAATGGGCAAGGAATTCCAAAAAGGGGAAACAGAGATGATGAAATACTTCATAAAATCAATATAAGTAGACCTTGCAATTTAGAAGTGGATAAAAGACTATAGGGAGATAATACTGAAATGTAGATAGATTTTGAGTCCTCAAGGAAGAAAGTAATGCCACATGAAAAGATCAAAAATAAAGGGAAGGAGGTTTAAAACTCTTAGGTATGACATAGCACTGGTGTATAGAAAAACTGTTTGGTTCTAAAAGATTAGAAGAGTGGTCCTAACAAGATATTAAGATAAAGTCATACAAAATCAGTATGTCTGTGATACTTCAGAAATCTTTCCCTTACTACTCTAATTTCAGAGGACCTACTTCACTGATATTACTCTGCCTACCATTAAATAATACCACGGTCCCCAACTACTGTTACAAAACCATCAAGTTATGAACAACATTTGTGTATAAATTTTAAAATATGAATAATACAAAATATTATTTCAGTACCATTTCAGCTAACTTCAGTATAATTTTAGCAGTATCCAATCCTTGCCTACGAAGAGCCCTGGCCTCAGCAATGGTCCTTTTTGTCAGACGTCGCTGAAGCTTTCTCGATAGACGATTCACATGTTCAATAGTCTGAACACTCTTACTCGCTCCAGAATTATCTGGTACTTCTACATAAAATAACAAAGTAAAATGTAGATCATAGAATAAAATTTAAAATGTGAACATTAATTTTTTTATTATTTTTTATTTTTTTATTTTATTTATGATATTTACAACTATATTACAAGTAAAAATACATTCAGTAAATGTGAACAAAAGAATATAATAACTAGAAATCACTTGTTGAGAAACTACCCACAGGTAGCACTCTAAAAATGTATTTACAATAGGAGATCTCGAGGCCATTTTCTTTTTAGACGCCTCGGAGGGTTGTCAGGGATCGAAGAGGAAGCAAAGTTAGAAATGAGAGGGTTTAGATGGTTCTGAAGTTTGTTATGGAAGGATAGGTATCTGGATTGGGCCAGGTCAGAAACATAAGGAACATTAAGGTCGTTATGGATGATTTTGTTTGTGACAAAGTAAAGAGCAGTGAGGATTTTACGAAGGATTTTGGATTGTAAGAATTGGATACGAGAGGAATTCGATGGCTTAGTGGAGCCCCAGAACTCAACTCCGTAAGTCTAAATAGGTCTTATTGTAGTCATGTGTATGAGTCTTTTGTAATTGACTGGGAGCTTAGAGCGTTTGTCTAGTAAGTGCTGGAGTAGTCGGAAATGTCGAGCTGTTTCTTGTCGTTTCAGTCTGGTATGAGGATTCCAAGTTAGACGTTTGTCTAAGTGGAGTCCAAGGTATCGAATTTGTTCAACAGGGATAAGTGGGGTATTATTAAAGGATACTGTAGGACAAGAGGACATAGGTTTACGACGAAGGTTAAAGGTGATTTGATGGGATTTATTGGAATTTATTTTTATCCTCCAGTTTTGACACCATTCTTCAAGGTTTGTGATGTGTGATTGAAGGGTTTGGGATGCAATTGTTGGGTCGTTATTAACTGATAGGACACATGTATCATCGGCATACGTGGTAATGACAGTGTTAGGATGGGTTGGGATATCAGCTGTATAAACTATGTAAAGGATAGGACCTAGGATAATACCTTGAGTGAACATTAATAAAAAATATTGAAAAAAAAACAAACCTTACCATTCTTGTCTACATCCGTTGCATCTGGTAAATATTTATCAACGTATTTATCAGCGACATCGAGAGCAGTGTCTATACGTGTTGCAGCCAGTTCTGCACCGTTAAGTCCTAACTGTTTTACAGAATCTGCTCTTTTGAGTACGGGCTGTACTATATTTTCTGCTACATAACTTTTGGTTTTAGTCAATATCTGAAAAAGTACAGAGTAAATTAGTAAATTATTTCATCATATAAATAAAGACAGCATAAAATATTTTGGACAAATGAAACTATAAATTCATAAGCCTTAGGGTTCAAAACATTTAACTAGCAAAAATTTCCTTATCCAAATAAAACATAAATCTCTGGATTAAATTAATCTTTAAATTAATAATTACCTTTTCTGGGGGATAGTTTATTGCTGGAACACGTTGCTGAACAGTATCCAGTCCTTTGCAGACAATGTTGTCCATTACAGTCAATGGTAATTCTAGCACTGGTAAAGCATTCAATGAAGTATCAATAGCATAATTCGTCACATCTTCAACAGTTCCAAAACCCCATTCCATAAGCCTATTGGAATGCTAAAAAATAAAAACTTCAGATTAATTATACTACATAATTTATCATTAGAATATTAAATATATTCTTTATTTTATAAAGGAAAACATTCTATATTTAATAGATAGCAATTAGTAAAATTTAACTCATGTCTTTACAAGTCAGTAATATATTTTCTGATTTGAATAAAACTTATTTACAACATAATTTTTCAAAATTAATCACAAGTTCTGAAAAGCCATAAAAGATTTAATTTCTGAGCTACCTTTGAATTATTATTTCTTCAAATGACAAAAAATTTCTCAAGGTAATTTTATAAAAAAAAAAAAAAACATGAAAATAATTTTTAATATTTTTATACTTTTTAAAAAATATTTGTGGCATGAATAGGATTAGAGATTATTTTTGCAATGTGAAAATAATTGAACAGAGAACTCAGAAAAAAATACTAAGACACCATTCAGACAAAATAATTATAAAAACGATGGAGTGGAACAGAAATTATTTATTTTATCTATAAATAAAAACAAAAATAATTAAAAAATAGGTCATAAGCAGTTCTGATTTAATAAAGTTATCGCTTAAGACAATAGCTTGTTTGCTTAATTTCTGATCACCAATAATTTTTTTTTTTTCTAAATTCATTGTGCTTCTCATAGTTCACAAATATTTGATTTAGTTGTAAATAATGTATTTTCTTATATTATTCAATAAATAAAAAAATAAAAAAAAGTCTTTAAAATTTTATTGAAAATGAGAATAATTAGAGATCATATTAACCTGTTTTTTTTTTTAAATTAATTATTCACAATAATTTTTTTAAAGATATTTTTCACATATTCATTTATTTGTTATTACTATTAATATTTTTTTTGACAATGTACAATAAAAAAAAGGGAACTCAAGCCAGATGTTCGCTCCATCACCGATATATATATATAAGATATACATGAAATTCATAACAATGAAAAATAAAACTTATATACTTTATATTTTTTCTTTGTTATTATTATGGAAATAATTATTATTAATATTATAACTTGGATTTTTAAAAAAAAGATATATATGTATAATGGAAGTAGTTTTTAACAACTAAATATAGATTACAAAACAAAATTTAGTTTGTTACAACAGTAAACTGTTAATTTGAACTAGAGAAATCAATACACAAAACTTATAATAGTTATTAAAATCACCATGAAATCATAACAAAAAAGAAAATTTTGTGATGAATTTATGGTATAATAAATAAGTTACAAAAATATATAATTACCTTAAGTTTACCGTATATTCCAGTAGCAATATTGAAGCTTGTCTCTAATACTGGTATTTTTGAAATACGTTGTATAGATTTCAGATTCGGTAACTTCTTTTTATCAGTAGTCATCTTTCTCGATAAATTATATCAATCTAGGATAAAGAAAAATATATAAATATTAAAAACTAAAACACCATTATCAGACTGAGCAAGCCAAGTGAGGCGATCAATAGAATTAAAATCCTATTACAAAACAAAGCCTTATACCAACGTTACCTCATAAGTTTCTTAGACAATCTTACAGAAATGAAAAGAGAGTTTATAGATCAAAATTTACTGATGTAACCAATAATTTGACTGTTACTATATTTTACAGTTTTAGGTTTGAAATATTAGTTATCTAACTATAGAAATAATAAAATATTTTTTTTTAAACATAGTTTCTTCCTCTTATCTTATGAATGGGTATAAGTGAAGTGAACTTAAAAATTATTTATTGTGAGGTCCAAGTTTCCAAAGAATAAAAGCAATGAATATAAATGAAAGTTTATGGTCCAACAGACAGCTGATTTATGTATTAAGTAATTAGAAAGTCAATATGTATTACATTTTACATATACTCAGAGGATTGAGATATAAGAAGGTAAAGAAATGATTGATATTAATTTGAAATTATAACCAACAATTGTAACTTATTATTTATATAACATAACCAATAATTAAAAGAATTTATATCTTATGAATGGAATCGACAGAGAGATAAAACTGATCATTAGCAGAGCAATATAGACTTCCTTTTTTAATGGAAAGTAATTTAAAATGACTGATAAGGAAAGATTTGATAAAACTCTAACACATTTAATAAAAAATTAAGTGTCCAGTGACTCTTCACTATAACGATTATGAGTTTTATTCAGTTTTAACTCATAAATTATTACTATATGAATAACTGAGAAAAAATAATATAATATATGATATTAAATTATATAATAGTAAATTATGGCAATTAATCGATAATTATGGTCACTATGTTCCCTAACAAGGAATAAAATTTAAATACATTTTATTAATATGATTAATAGATCATAGTTTTTATTTTGTTACATTAAAAAAAAAATTATCTTTTAATTCTGCAAAGAAAATTAATTTTAAAAACAATTTAAATATTTATGCTATAAGTGAAAATGAAATAGCGTCCTAGCTTACAGCATCAAAATTTTTGCTTGTGAGAATTTATAATATGGGAAATTAAAAAAAAAATTGTAATTATAGGCTTACTTCATTGCAACTTCGAAATCAAGTAGTATAAAAATTTGCATAAAATGTAATAACTTAAATGAACAGTTAATTGTATAATAATTAGATTACTATAACTTGTTTTAAAAATAAGGAGCAGATTATGAACCTTTTAGAAGTTCTCCATATATTTCAAAACATCAGGTTTATTACTGATTCTGTCTGATATTTTAGGAGATATGACATTTATTATTATGAATATTATTCGACCATTTTATAACATTCACTGGTAAAATTTAAGCACTATAATTTTAACAAAAATATTAATATAAACCATACTACTCATAAATATAGAACTATTATTCTATCTTACTTAGGGATATATAATTTACTACTTATGTACCATCACCTATATTTATTTACGTAACATAATTCTTACAACATATCAAGTTTTAAGATTTAAAATGATTACAAACACTTACTTAAGAGATGAGACTTCAACCTTGATCTCAACACAGCAACAATATTCTAACAATTGACAAGCTAGGCACTCAGGCAGTGATATTATGAGAGGGGGCAAGTGACCTTTTGACTTTGATAAGATTTGAAATCGGTAATCCTGTAAAAGCAATATTAATTTTCCATTTCAAAATTATTTAAAATAATTATTCCACCTTCCTAAGTATCAGATATATGTATAATATTGAATATTGCAAAGTAAACAATCATGGTTGAAAAAAAAGGCTAATTTTTTTTGTTTTAAATGTGAGAATATATTTGATTTGAGAATGAACCAGGAAAAGACAATCAATAGTATGTGATATCTATAAAGAATATATTAATAATAAACGTGATAAATGTAGTCTAATTTTTTTTCTCTTGAATTTCGACACTAGACTTTTACATTAGTCCTGTTTTATTTCTTAGAAAGTAAATTTTAAAAATATTATTTGTGTAGGAGGTATTCCAATTATTATGTATCAACTAATGATCTTTAACTTTATTCCTTATAAGGCATAGTTAACCACAAAAAAAGTTTGATACTACAAATGTTGGATTAGCATGTAATCAATAAAGTAATTAATAGTCGGATACTTGTATTATATTTAATAGTTTGTTCACTGCTTATTTGCATGTATCAATTGGCTGTTCGGTTTACCTGGGTGCCTCTAAAACTTTTGGGTACTATACTTATCTGCTTTCGCGTTCTATGACAACCTTGTTCCACTCTAGAATGGTAGATAAAGCCCTTGGTATCAAAGTTGATATTCTACCAAGGACTTGAGGTGCTGGTTATAAACTGTTTTTCTCAGTGAACAGTGAATTCTACTGAGGAAAAAAGATACCTATCCGAGAAGAGAGGGGAAGGTCTCTAAGTAATTTTTAGCTCTTGTCCAGTCCGTAGCTTAAGTCCAATAATTATTGAAACAAGGATTCTCTAATTATAACTGGCGTTTTTAAATTATAATCAAGCGATTTTGATAGATTGATATTACAAATATAAAGAAACTCACAAGGAGGGAAAGTCCGAAACGTACTATCTAGTCTAGCCTGAGTGTTTACTCTCTCGTAAGATCTTTGTACCGATCGAGAGGTATTAATAATTTGTTATCTTCTCCGCTTAGGTCATTGTATTTGCTTTTGACATAAAGTTTCTGCTCTCACAAACTGTAACGTAATAATTTTGGAGGCTTAGTGCAGTCAGGTTTTGGTGTAGGTAATTGATACCAATTCAAACTTTACCCAAATAATTTCATTTTTTAAATGTAGAAACTATTTTGGTATATATAATTATTTGGAAATAAATGAACAGGTAACGAATGCAATGGCAATTATTCCGCATATATAGCTTCGAAAATTTTCATTAGAGAAACACTTTCTTGCATTCCTGATGGTGCAATAATTAGATAATGGCGCTGCCGATCGGGATGTCTGGTCTGGCTAATTGATAAGTTGGATCCATTAAACTTTTTAGCCATCTTCCTACATTGGCAATCTGCATTAGTGCATCAGAAGCTATCATTGTGATTACTCGTAAAGGTGTGGACTTGTTTTTCATTTTCTTACGTGATAGTCTTCTGATTCCAAACATGGAACCGGCTTACATAAAGATACAGCCAGTGTGGATGTTTCTCCATGAAGAAAGAAGGAGAAAAGAAAAATTAATCGTTTGGATGAAAAACATTTCCTTAATCTTATTATCTTCTCCATCTCCCCATTTTCTTTTCTCGATCTACGAGAGCCATACATATCTTTCTTGAATCAACTGTTTCATTTAAATAAGACATTTTACATTTTCCCTTTCCAAATTGAGAGTGTAATTCTCTTACATACCCTTTCATACGGTCCCTGGTTTGACTCTCCCACAGCCATACATTCTGGTCTTGACACATCGTACGAACATCTTCAAACAAACTCAAGTAATATTTATCAAGAGTATCTTTAAACACTGTATTCCTAAATATCCCCACCTATTCACAACAATTTTCTTGTTTGAGTTGTTGTTCTATTTAATCGATTTTTCAAACATATATCAAGGTAGAGAAAAGTACATAGTTTTAATTCATCGGCCATCTCGCATTTGCCTTACGCAAAAGTGTTATTGGTTCACATATACTCTTCAACGTGCGTACTGTAAGCACTAGCAGACATATCACTCTTCAAAATTTATCAACGTATATCAAAATTTAAAATTTCATTAAACAACACTAAAGAATGCTGTGATGATTAATTATGTACTCCAGATATGGCAGAAAGCGAAGGAAGAATTCATTACCAAAGAACAAATAGTTTCGAGTTTCTTATTAACAAGAAAAACAATCATCAATTACAGGGAATGTATCTTTACAAGTATTTTATATTTAATTTCAATAAAACGTAGTCTACGTAAAAATAGAGTTGAAACGTTAGCAGAGGATTTTGGAAATATAGAACATATTTAAGAATATTTTAGTTCAGATGACTCTGCTTCAAGACGATTTCGTATTCAAAAATAAAAAGTCTTGATAATAAATTATGATCTGAGATATAAATAGCTAGTAACGTCACTATTTTTATCTTTTTTAACTTGGGAAAGTTTCTTCTTAGCATTTAAGCATGAAATGGATCTGAGAACATTTTATACACCATCAATAATATTATGTTTTTTTTTTTTTTTCAACTTGTATTAATTTAAGTGAGATTTACACAACCTTCATTCGCGATAACATTAATTTATACAACTTCGATCGTGGCTCTATGTATATGCGCACACCTCTACTTCCAAGTAACTCCACAACTAATCTACATCAGAAACACCGCGTAATTAACTAGATGGGAACGGGAGCAGTCTTTCAGCATTCTAGATATTTCCACCTCTGCCTGACATTTCAGATGAAAGTAGTATTAGAAGCAATAAGTTCCAACAACTTCCACCACAACTGACAGTGTCAAACTATTACAAAGAAACTTATTGCGAATTTCATCGCTGCTATAGTTCTAGAACATGACAAGAATTCTTAAGACAAATATATCGTAACAATATGTCCATGCTTATATTTATATCTGTGTACATGGTAATTAGGTTCTTAAGACCATGCTTTTTCAAGTATATTTTAATTCGGTAATGCATTTTTTTCTGAATAAGTTTAATTAAATCATTTGAATTTTTAAAAACATTTTCAAGTTCATAATAACGCAATGATATGAGCGGGAGCCTGTGCCTCCAATATTTCGCAGCCAATTACTTAAAATACTGATCGATAATTCAAAGTAAATCATAATAATGCATGTTCATCACTCTTTTCCCGGTCTGTTGGTGTTCCTCAAGGGAGCATCCTCAGTCCTATCCTTTATACAGTTTTTACAGCTGATATCTCAACCCATCCTTACACGCTCATCACTCAACAAAACACGCTCATATGCAGATGACATTTGTATCCTATCTGTTAATAATGACCCTTTAATTGCATCCCAAACTCTCCAATCACATACCAGAAACATTGAAGAACGGTGTCATAACTGAAGAATAAAAATAAATTCTAATAAAACCCATCAAATTACCTTTACCCTTCTTCGTAAACCTACAACTTCTTGTCCTACAATAGCCTTGAATGATATTCCACTTGTTCCTGTTGAACAAATCCGCAACCTAGGACTCCACTTGGATAAACGTCTCACTTGGAATCCTCATACTAGACTGAAACGACAAGAAACTGCTCGACGATTCCGACTGCTCCAACACTTACTAGACAAATGCTCTAAAATTTCAATTAATTACAAAAGACTCATCTGCTTAACCATAATATCACCTATATAGACATACGGAGTTGAGCTTTGGGGCTCTACCAAACCATCGAATTCCTAATATATCCAATCCTTACAATCCAAAATCCTTCGTAAAATGCTTAATGCCTCATATTTTGTCACGAATAAAACCATTCATAAAGACCTTAATGTTCCATATGCCGCTGATTTAGCTCGAGCCAGATACCTATCCTTTCATGATAAACTCGTGTTAACGCCGCATACGCTCAGATTTTAATTTTTTTCTTCTCACCATTCACCCCTTTTTAAATGTTAATAATAAAAGGTTTATTTATTTTTTTTGGTAAAAAAATGAGGGTCAATTGACTCAAAAATGTATTTAAGTTTATAGTATTTATACATTTAGGTTTATTTTGCGATGTATTATATTATATTGTATATACACACCAGCCCGCCAGTCTTGGGGATTAAGATATCGAAATAATGCCATAATATTGCCGGAAAGTGAGTTTGGAGCTATCGTTTGTAGTGGACGTCTACCCCCCACCAAGTCCAGACTCACCTCATCTCACTTGCCAACAGCCTAGCAACATTTTCAAAGAACAACTGTTTGGCGCATCAGCAGTCGTCGTTCGAGATCGATAGGCTATCGATTCGATATTTCCTCACTAACGACTCTATAACATCGAAAAGGTAACCTGGTTGGAAGCAGAGCCTCTAACCTGGCTCTTTTTACTTTCCTACCTATACTAGGTAAGGAAAGTATTGCAATCGGGTCAAATTTCCGATATGCGGTTTTCGACGGATCTATACGTTTCAGAGCTCCCTAAGTCCGAAAAACACATTTTTAGCCATTGGTCTGTCTTTCTGTTTTTAAAAATTTTACCAAATCAAAGAAAAGTTTTTGGCACTCGGGCCTCATTGAGACCTCACCTAAATCCCGTGAGTCATGGCTCGTGATGAAAAAATGGCTTGTTCTATAAATGACATGAGTTGTCAAATAGGCTTTCTAATAGACACAATTGATACAATAAACATTATAGAAACATCGTTTTTCGATGATTTATTAAATTTTATTTTTTAAAAACAGTTTTGAAAATTTTACCATGTGATCAAAGAAACTTTCGGGGACTGAATCCAGAGATAGCCGTAGTTTAGGGATCCCTGGTCTATAGCATGCTATACAACACCATTAATTATTTAATTTTTGAGTTATGGACAAAAAAAAAAAATTTCTTCATAGTCCTTTTCCCGGACTGGGGAATGTGTTTTTTTATGCCCAACAGAAGGAGAAGGTAATCTCCTAACGATGACTCAGTCATTGAATTTTATGTAAAACTAAACATGTTTGGTACCTAATATATTATATTATAATTAAGATAATACACTGATTAGTGTATCCCTCCGCAGTTCTCCTTCCATACATTGAACAGTGTTAAGCTATACTACCCTTCGACCCCGTCTCCTCCCCTCAAAAAAAAAAAAAATTCCGATGGATCGGAATTTCCGGAGTCTATGTTCGAGTTATTTTTTAACGGTCCTTATTAGGTTTTAATTGTTGTTTCCTACAGTTTTAATGTGCTATCTATGTTAATATTTAATGAATTGGAAAGATCCTTATTAAGATAAACAAATTGTTATTGAATACTAGAAATATTTATAAACAAAATATACTAATTAGTTCGAATATAGTATTTTCTATTATCAGTCGGGAACTGACAAAGGCACTAATTTGAAAGGAATGTAAAAAGAGAAGATAACGAGTGATTGCAATATCTTCGCTCACAGAACATAGGGCAACGCATAAAAAAATAACTGATCAAACAATGTATCATACCTCATAAGATTGGCATCACATTTTAAAAATAATGATTTTTAGAAAGATGATGCCGTCTTGATATCAACACGATGAGTATCGGTGATCGAACTTATGAATCAAGTTTTGCGCTGAATAAGGATCACAGTTCCACTTAGGGGTGTCCATCCCCCTCCCTCCAAGGTCGATGGCTCAAAAACCTCCCCTCCTTTCTTCCAAGATATTTTATTTCTCTCCTCTTCTTGAAAACAGTGCAAGCTAAAGTAGAGATTAAAAAATCATAGGTCATATGCAATTACACTGTCAGTGTTCTGTTCTTTGCTTTCCTTTTGTCCTCTGGTTTGAAACGTTTCATAACCCTATCGAAACGTGCCTCCCTCAAAAATTTAAAACCGTTGAAATGTGGCCCCTGTAAAAAATTTGATGGCGCTACTTGCAACGTTACCAAACCCTTTTCTGGGAATCGCTGGTTCCACACTTACGAAATTAGCGCGTGTTTATTGTACATGAAAAGCCAACTTGGTGAATTAAGAATACTACAAAAGACAGTGGGAGATCACGTCATGTGGAAACAGGCAATTAAAAGTACATTGTTATTATTTTAATACCCGCAAGGTCACGGAAATTCACGAAATACTGGCCTCGTAAAACGGAA